TATTTGGCTGGGTAAGCCACCATCAATATTTTAAGTTCAGCAGTATACAGACTTTAAAAGCAGGATAATTGCCCATATTATTTATTAATATCACTGTTAAGATACTCACAAAATTCCATCCTTTTGCCATTTATACAATCTGCACAGAACAAGAGGCCTGCTTCTCAGTACTTGATCAAACCTGGAGCAAACACAGAAGGATCAATGTTTTATTGCCAATGTAACTTTGGATATTTGTATTAAGAATATTTTTAGGATGATGAAAAATTTCTCTAATAAACATGAGTTTTATGAAAATGTAAAAAAAAGTTTGGATCCCTAATTATCAGGGAAATGCAAATCAAAACCACATTGAGATATCATCCTACCCGAGTTAGACTGGCCATTATGAAACAAGACAGAGAATAACAAATGCTGGCAAAAATGAGGAGAAAGGGAATCCTGATACACTGTTGGTAGTATATAAGTATACATTGTAAATTAGTGCAGCCATTATGGAAAATAGTATGGAGGATTCTCAAACAATTACAGATAGAACTACCATACAATCCAGCACTCCCACTACTGGGTGGGATTGAAAGGAATGAATGGAATGAAAACCATCATGGTGAAGTGATACCTGCACTCCCATGTTTATCACAACTCTATTTGCAATAGCCAAGATATGGAGCCAGCCTAAATGTCCATCAGAAGATGACTGGATAAGGAAAATATGGTATATAGACACAATGGAATACTACTCGGCCATAGGAAAAAAAAATGAAATTCTGCCATTTGCAGCAAAATGGATGAGCTTGAAGAAAATTAAGTGAAGAGAGAAAGAAAGAAAGGAAGAAAGAAACAACAATCGCAATAATACATTGAACTCTGGTTACTAGAGGCGGGAAACGGGGAGCAGGAGAAGGGATAGCCAGAAATTGGTTAATGGGCACAAAGAATGATTTTATTTTGTAATGATGAATATGCTAATTATCCTGATTTGATCATCATATATTGTACACAAATATTGACAGTTGACTCTGTACCACACAAATATGCATAAACAATTGTGTTTCAATAAATAAATAAATAAATAAATAAATA